AAAAAGTTGCACTTTTCTTCGTCCGACACAAATGATGCACGCCGACACACAAAAAAAGACCTTGTCGGTTATTTAATACATACATATAACTATGTCGTCTGATAACAGGCGCTCACTTTGTATTATCTCCATTGCTAGTGCTCTTAGCGACAGTTGGGTGCATATCACTTTTGTGGCCAATCTAGCGCAATTCCACTGCCTTTTCCATTCTCTGTTGCATAAACACATTTTTTTTGCGTTTATTACTCAATGCTATATTCCTTAACCAACTTTGATATTAAAAATGAAGAATTCATTTGGGTGTGTCTGGTCAATAAAAGATTTATCGCTTAATTATTGCGGTAGGGTTAGGAATTAAAACCGTTAAGTGATATGAGGACTACAGAAGCAGCTGTAGTCGGCAAAAAAGTGAAATGCCGCATTAAAAGTGTTAGTGACATCGCTAACAATCATTGCAATTTGTTGTTTTCACTGTCCTTGATTTTCACACTTTTAAATTCTGATAATCTTAGCTAGATGAATTTTTCAATAAAATGAATCTGGTTTCACTTCTTAGAAGCCTGCTGAATGTTGTATTTATTAAGGACAAAAGAAATAATTGTTTGTGACTAACACATCTGAAAATCAACTGAAATGGAACGATGAAAGGAAGCGAAAATTAGAGGGAAAGATGAGCGGAGTAATAAGTTATGGAGAGATCTTTTACTAGTTATTAGTGTTCCTTTCTAAAAGAAAATTTGACAAGTATTGCTATCGATATTTATTTTTTAAATAGAATTCTGCTTTAAAATGCTTCCTTTTTAAACGTTCTGCGATTCTCAAGTTAGTCGCTAGACCATTTAACAGTATGTTACTTGCTTGATAGCTTTTTAGAAAAAAGTAGGAAAAAATTGCCACATATTACAAACGGTATATGGAATTTTGGTTTTTATTTTGTCTTTTAATGACGCTTTTTCCAATACAGACATGCGACTCTAATGCTATGTGACAGATAAGTGGAACAAAATTGCTGGTATTTCTTCGTTTTCGCACTGACGTCGTTGTTTAGGGATTTGTTCTCTAATCATTAAGTTTTATTACTATACAAACGAAACAGTAAAAGTATTGTCTTAAACTAAGTCTTAAGTGCTAGTTAATAGCTAAATTCACCAATGTTCACCACTGATATATTTTTTGCCGGATATCCCTAATTAATAGGCGCAACAATTTCGACTAGAACTTCCACCTTCATTTCTCTCGTACGCTTAAGGCAAACTCAAATGTCCTTTAATCGCCATTCTGTAGGGCAGATGAAGGATGAACAACAGAAGTTTGTAAATGTGTCAAGACCTACAACGCAAGTTTAAATACTGTGTAAATTAGTTGTTTATGAAATTGTTTTTGATTTATTTTTACCTTCATGCTCTTATTAACAGAATTTTTTATTTATGTGACTCAGACCCGTAACTAATTCTTACAAATGTTAACTTACAGTTGAGTTATTGAGAGATCTTGACACTAATTGTATCGCTGTTATAAACCGTACACGCAACCTTCCCGGGCCGACAAAATCTTAGTAAAAGTTAATTTGTTTTTTCAAATTTTTTTTCAAATTTTTTCTTTGACAGAAACAGCCGTTTGAGAAAAAAGACTCGTAGTTGTTAAAGCTGTGTTACAGAAGGATCCACTTAAAATCTTAACAGTTTTGCTTGACTACTAACACATGTTTCCAATGCTGAATAAATCGATGGAGCTTTCTTTCAAATCTATTAACGAAAATGCTTCAGATGAAGTAAAAGCAAAAGTAAGGAAATCGCTTGTTGAATGTTGTAGATGATTTCATCCCGTGCAAGCTTTAACAAATGCATTAATATTGTAAAAAGGTTGCTTTACTGCGCGTATTTAAAAAAAAAAAGAGAACGGGCAAGGTGTGCAAAATAAATTGAAAAAACCACGTATTTGGACCAATCTTTTTTTTTGGCCTTTAAATCGGTTCGTGCCAAATTTTTATTCATTTTTATAGCATGAATTTTTTAGCAGCAAAAAAGATGATCTTTGTATGAAGTAACAGATCTGGTGCAAGCAGCCACGTGGAAACTGCGGATTTGTACTTCAGCTGTTTTAAATCCTTTATTTTACAACTGTTTTTCACGTCATTTTTTTGGATATCATAGAACAACAAAACCACATCATTTTTTGTTAGAAAAATAATTATTCTTTATTTTATTTTGCAATATGATTCTAAGATTATGCAAGTTACAGAAAAAGTCTGAATTTTAAAGTCATATTTTTCTCGTTCTCTATCACGGTTGATGTTGGGTGTCAAAAACTCATGCGTATTGACTTGGATAAACCAAGTGAACTTTGATTCTTTAACTTTTGTAACTTTTGGATTTACCGGAGTCAAAGCTTCTGCACAACCGTAGAGAAACACACTTGTACAGTTTTTTCACAATATTTTCGGCCTCTCCATAAACCATAAAAAGTGATGAAGAAAAGGAACGGAATTAAAAGCGTTTCAGAATAAAGTATTAACGTTTTTTGGAACAAGTAAAATATAATACTATAATATAAAGGGTAAAAAAACTTTTGGGGAGACATTAGAGATAAAAATAATTGCCATCTTTAAATAACCAAATATATAAAAAAGAAATGAAGTAAATTTGTCAACGTTTTCTACGGGTAACCACAAAGCTGATGATCTGTCTCCAGAAGTAAACACGTTGATCGATTTTTTTTTGGGCCTATTCTTACTCTGAATAAAATGCATACAGCGGGGGAAAAACCGTAGCAGTTAGTCATAGACGAAGCGCAATGCCTGTTTGTAAACAGTTCCAGTCCATCGGGCAACGGAACGACGACAGCATCAGACAGCAATAGCAGCAATTGCAAGCCGCTTACTAGTTGACGTTGGGCATCCTAGTATTTTCTCACGGTTACCTCAAAACGCCGTAACAGGTGAAAAAAGTCGGCTTTCGAAAAGTATCATCAGCTATTCTTCTTTCTGACAAAGTAAGCACTTCTCCTTTAACGATGTATTCAGTTAGGCGTTAAGTACACTTTTGCTTTTTTTTGTGATCTACCTGTGTATTGTGTACCGATTAATCTGGTTTTGCATATTATGCTGTTATCTTCCTCAACAATTTTTACCTATTTTTATCTCTTCTTAACATTTTCTTTCTGTTTTTACTGGTTAGCTATTTCGCTATTTTCTTCTTTTTCAATGCGTCATTCGGCATTGATAAAATTGTACAATAAAGGGAAGCAGTATAATAAAAAAAGAGAAATAAAAACTGGTTACAAAAAACGAGGTACTTTTATTTTATACGTATAAAAAACAGAAGGCAAAGAAAAAGAATAAACTAACAATAATATTAAAATTAATCAAATATTGTTTACTTCATTTGTAATATGCGTGCCATAGGAATTCGGTGAAATGGACTGTTAAAAAGTTGATAGGAAAAATCGTTTCTCCAAAAAAATAGGATCAAAATGCCAGTCTACAGTTTGGTCTGTTCACAGCAAAATTTCCTAGTTCTATTTCTGCTTTTTAAAAATACAACGTACTAATCGGGGAAATGTTCATTCAGCAGTACTGCAGTAACTCATAAGCAGAAAAAAATTGTTCTGTCATTATGCAGTGATAAAGTGAACAAGAGTTTCAGATGTATTTACATTAGAAAGCCGATTAAAATAATTTTTTGCAACTATGTTGTTTCGGCGGATAAAGGGTAAGGAAGGACAAAGTTAGTGGATAGAAGCAAACAACTATGAATCCGGTATTTCAAGGGTATCCGAAATGCGAAATTGCTACGGCTGAATAGCGTCGATAATAATGGAGAAGAGAAACATACAAATGCGGATGTTTGGCAGCTATCTTCCATTTTTTTCTTTTGCTAACAAATTTTTCTGTTTGAATTAAAATTTTTATTTTTCACATATTCGTTCGATTTCTTCCCTTTTTTTTAGTTTTTTTTTATTATTTTGCTATATTTAATGCTTTCATTTCTTGAAAGCTTCACTGTAGTTTTGGTATTAATATAGCATTCTGAATCTACTTTTACACTATATTGTGTTAAAGTTTTTGAAAAAGCTTGAAACATTTTACGGTTGAAAGTTTTCATTGGTGGTTCTTATGAATCAGTGTAGATTGTTGCGGTAAATATTGTTAACAACACTAATTTCCTTCTTTTGCAGTCTTCAATCATCAGTTTTCAAGAATGAAACTCTTCCTCTTTGTTAATGTTGTTTTTTCAATGTTTTATACAATAAGTGTTCAAAACTTAAACATCTATCAAAATATTTTTGTTTAATCAGCATAAATTACAAAAAAAAATTTGTTTGGAAAAGGTTGTTAAGAAGTATTTTTTGTTACAAAATTCTTTCAACTTTTCAAATTGTCACTTTTTCTGCGGTACTAATATTAAAGAATAATTTTCAAAAAAATTTTTTTGTCAATTTGTTATAACTTTAGAGAATAAGCAGTGTTACTTTTGACTTTATTTGCTTTTAATTTTTCAATTCAACTTTTGAAACAAAAACCTATTTGATTAACACTCATAGATTTCGTCGCATTTCTGAGACAACTGCTTCCTTAAACTGCGTTTTGAAAAATTCAAATCGACTTATGGTGGATAAAAAGTGTTGATGTAATATGACAGTGAATCTGATTAGTATTTAGGCAGGCTGTTTGAAAAACATAGAAGTCTAAAATTTTTATACAGTTGTCTTTTGTTATCTGTTTCCTTATTGTCAAGGATCCTAAATGTTTTTTTAGTGTATACAGCGAAAAAACTCATTGTGTCGGATGACTGCAAAATTTTTACCGTCATTTAACCACCAGCATTTCTGTTACTGCTTTTGGTGGTAGCACGTCAATTTAGTTGTCGTAAGTTGTATGTGATTTTTGTAAGAACGTATGGTATTTCTAAAATTTTAAAAAGTTTAGACATTTGTTGAAGCGATTATTGTCGGAAAAATTATTTGAAAACAGTGCTGCATTCTGCTTACTGTCTATCAATATGGTCAACTTAGGTCGATTTCGCGAAATACCCTATTTGTTCAAACCTGTGATATTTGTAAGCATTTCTTCTTTTATATTTCCGAAAAAAAAAAAGCTAAACACATCAAAATAAAATCAAGTTTCTCAGTTTACATACATATATTAATATATGTCCATTTGTCAGTGACTAGTGCATCAGCTGGTCGAATATGGACATCAGCTTTTTTTTTAGCTTTCAGGATTGAGCGTCGCAAGGGGCAAATTGTACAGCTCACTAAAAAAAAAGAAATTCTGTACAGTGATACTAGTTGTAGGTTTTATCAAAAAAAACTTTTGATAGAAATCGAGCTTAGTCTACCAGACAGATTTACTTTTTTTTCCTGGTTTTTATTAAACAATTTGCAAACTTTTTGAAGAACTCGAAAAATGATAGTTACCAGGCAACAAGAGAAATTCTTTTATTACTTTTTCTTTCGGTGCTGTATTAGTTTAAGCAAATTTTTCTACTTCTAAAGCAAAGCTTACAATATGCAGTAAGAAAACAGCATATTTTATATGTATATCTCTATATGTATTTATTTATTCATTTATATATTTTTTTAATGTGTTTGTTACACAATTTTTACAATTAGTTTTGTGTCTTTTTTTTTTACAATTAGTGCTAAAGAAAAAAATAAATAAGACAAAAATTATTTAAGCTTTTTCAAAATGTCATTTTTATAGGTGTTCCTTATTTTGTTGTTTATATTCTATTTATGTCACTCAACCTCTTGGTGGCTTTGGCTTACTTGGGTTGCACAGATTATCTGTGTAGGAGGAATAACTGCTGGATTAGCCATAGAATTTGACAGTGTATTTGGATTTTGGTCAATGCTGGTGAGTATCGACTGTGACGATTCAAATTTAACTTTGAAATAATAGAGGAAAGTAGGAAAAAATAACTGGAGTGAACTTTAATCATTAGTATTGTTCGACATAATTATATTTATTTGTAAAGAACGTACTAAGCAATCGCGGTTTTGCTGTACCACCGATGCTGAAAGGTTTTGGGTTGTAAAGGATTATAGTTCAAAGTATATTTACAAATGAAAAAAAAATTAAACTGTCATATAAGTATTAAATTTTAGGAAGTTGCTGTCAGTGGAATTTTCAGCCTTATTGGTGTTCTCAATGTACTTCTTAACGTCGTATGGCTTTTCAGGCATAAAAATGCACTCTATGGAATTCAAGCTGTATCTTTTTTTCATTGTT